AATTAATACATCTATCATGCTCTGCACATATATTAAATCTAATTGGGTAAGTTATTTAAATTAAAAATTTTTAATTATTATTATTTATTAATTATTAAAAATATTAAATATTAAATTTTTTTTTAGTGAAACTTGGTGTGATTTTTCACAATTTTCAATTTTAAAGAATTTTTTGGCTAAAGTAAAGAATTCATTTGTGAAGTCTCCATGAAAAGCTTGATATTTAACTCATTTACGTATGAATGGAATTGAATTACCATGTAAAATTCCATTACCAAACAAAATGTGATAGAATAGTTGATTTAAAATAATTTTTTACACTAAAGAACATATTCTATATTGGCAAGATTTTTACAAAATTGAACATGAAGTTGATCCGAAAAATGAAACAATTGGTACTATCTACTTTACAAAATACAACCTTAATTAGGAACTATTATAATCTATACAAATTTTATTTCAACTTACGCTAAAGCATTTGTTTAAGATTTGGATTTTTTTCAATAACAAAAAAAAACCAGTTTTTCCATTTATTGAAACAAGATTAATAAATCTTACAGTTTATCTTGAATCTAAACTTATTTTGGTATAGAACTTGAGAATCTTATAACAAGTCTTCACTTTAATCCATTGGCAGTCTATTATATTTTTCAAGCAGCATTTCAGGTAGCATTCAAAAAATTTGAATTTCATATTTCAAATCATCCAACTCATTCTTTATTTTGTGCAACTCAAATTTTTGATCCTAAATACATGCATCTAGGAAATAATATTCAACGATATAGCATTTATCAATATTTAATTATTAAAGAACTTATTAACCCTTCTGATGATTTGTTACATGAATGGGGTATTTATTGTGAATTGGAATTCAATGAAAATATAGAAGAAAATAAATTGGATGTTTATTGGAATAATTTAGCAACGCGTTTACCAATTCTTTCTCAAATAGCATTAAATTATATTTGGTTACCTATATCAAGTTGTGCTGTTGAGCGTAGTTTTTCTTTATACAATACTCTCCTAAATAATGATCATCAAAACTTATCAAAAGAATCACTTAAACAACTTATGATGTATTTTAATCAAGATGATTAAATTTATTTTTTTTTTAGTAATTGTAATAAAATTATAATATAAAATTTTCAATAATATCACAAAATATTATAAAAAATGCCACAAAATTACACAAAAAAATAAAAAATTAAATCACAACACAACACAAAATTGATTTACATCACATACAAAATTTGCTTTATATCACCACAACAAAACATCGTCCCTGCGGAAGATGTAAAAATTGTGATATCAATTCTTTTTTAAAGTAACTTTATAAACTGGATAAGTGGCAATCTTAATATTGATAATTATATTAAGCGCACTCAATTAAATGCATCTATAAGTATAAATTACTTGGAATATATTGAATTTGAACAATTCGACTTTATAGAATATACGATAAAGACAGAGATTTTTGTATAATTTATTCAGCAATTTGGCTGGTAGTACAAAGAATACTTTGTTAGAAAGATATAGTTGTTTTGCTTTAGAAGAATATCTCCATGAAAATGAATTAATTCACGGAAATATTCATGAAGATGAAATATATGAAGTTCTTCCTTATATAGATCCTGAAATTTAAAGGGAAATCTACCAACAAAGTCTTCAGATATTTACAGCTTTAAAGTTATTACTTGGACACATTCTACAGGTATTCGTCATGGTGTAATAGAGCACATTATATTCAACTAGTTACTGAAATCTGCTTTGGACTTCATCCTGAAATTATTAATAAACTATGATTCGATGCTTTCAACATCCAGTTTCTCAACCAGGAAACTATTTACAGTGATCCTGATTATTCGGATTTGTTGAAGAGAAAAAAATTTCAGATATAGAAAAAAAATAAATATCAAGAAATTCTATTATACACAGCACATTTATATTTTCTGAATTAAATTATTCAAATGAATTATACTTATTTAAGTTGCTTAATCTTCAAGTTTAAACGGATGTGATTTTAAGCTGAATTTAAACTATACTATGCAGTAATGTATTTTTCCAACCCAAGTACTAGAACAACGTTAGTCAAGTTTATCAGTAATGATTTATAGTATAGATCATCCATATAGCGGAAGTTCATTGACAACCCGATATATTTTTATCAACGTAATAAATAAAATCAAAATTAAATATACTTAAAAAAGGTAATCTATTTTTTTTTTATTACTCATTAAATATAATGAATAACACCAAGATTCATTTCAAATGGGTAGAAAAGGCTATCAAAGAAAATTATATCAAATATTATAATTATGCTGAATTCAAAGATGTTCAAGAAATTTATAGCAGGTCGGTTGCCAAAACTTTTAGAGCAAAATGGAAAGATACCGATATGGTCATGAAATATTTGTATAAATTATCCATTGAAGAGGTGGTCAATGAGGTAATG